GGCCACTGGGGAAGGGTCCAAGTCCCTTTCAGCCCCCAGGAGAAGGAGGGAGCTGAGAGAGGGGAGGGAAGGAGGTGGCCAGAGCCCCCTCCCAGCAGGCTGGGTCTGTGGGAGCAGTGGTGAGGGGGCCTGGCCCTGCTTTCCTGCCCCCTTCTCACACTGGTCACAGAGCATCAGTCACCCACATACTGGTGGGTGGGGCCTTCGCTCAGCGTTTGGCAGCCAGAGGGCGGGAGCAGCCCGGCCGGGGGTCTCTGTGGCTCTACATCCATACGTAGGCCTGGCCTGCCCCCCTCTTGCCCTGCCTCGGTTGCTCTGTGGCTTCTGAGCCTTCCCTTGGAGCTGTCAGCACCAGCCCCCCCGTGCTCAAGGTGCCCAGAGGAGGAAAGGGGATCTGGGCTCCAGTCTGGGGCTCTTCCTGCCTCCTGCTTTCCCCTGGCTTCAGCCTGGCCCTGGGCCTCTTTCCTGTCAGCCCCACGGGGGCCAGGGGAAAAGCAGGGGGGTGGGTACAAGGGCCACATTTGTGGGCATCAGGTGGCACCAAAGGAAACGCTCCCTGTCGGCCTGGCTGGAACATGGCGCCACATGAGCAATTTGTTGGCACCAACGTGCTCCCCTGGCCAGTCTGAGCGGGGAGCCAGGGACGGTCCCTGCAAACCTGGGGCCATTGGCCAAGGCTGCTGCTCTTGTGTCTGTGCTGGGACCCTCTGGGCCTCAGGAGCGCTAGAGATGTGGGGCAGCTCTGTCCACCCAGCCCGGGGCTGCCTGTCTGGGTGATGCCCTCACACACACTGGCCCCTCCTTCCCCTCCTGGGACAGGGCTCCTGCTGTTCCTTGGCCAGTCAGCCTGGGAGTTGGGCTTATCCCAAGCACAGGCTAGGTAGCAGGATCTGTGCTTAGCTGGGCATCAAGAAGAGCCGCAATAAGAGCAGCCACCCCCCCTTCCTGCCTGGCTGTGAACCAGGGGCTTTTGGCATGTTAAACAAACGCAGTAACCGCTATCCCACAGAAACACGATTAAGTTAGTTTTTTTCTGTTCATAAACTTGGACAAATATTCTGTTACCAATTCTTTGGCCAAGTCCTTGAGGGAAGAGTCAGAGCAAGAGCAGGGAACAAGACCCGTCCCGCCCCCAATACTGCTCTAGACCCTTTGCTCCCAACACAGGGGAGGGGGGGGCTGTGCGCCTCTGGAGGAGTGACCCACATCATATCCCCAGCATTTCTGCCCTTCATGGATGGACCTTTGGGGGCAGGCCCAGACGCTCCATCCTCTCACTCAACTCCTATCACACACTGGAGCAGGGCAGCACCCAAGGGTAGGGCTGATCCATGGGGTGCTGAGCAAGGGGCAGAGGCTGCAGGAGCTGAGAGTTTCCCTAGAGCCCAGGGACCTATAACGAGGCACCAGGCCCAGTGTCTCTCTCAGAAGGCGCAGAAAGGGATTGACTGGGGGCAGAGAGAAGTGAGGGGTGTGGCCAAAACACAGACATTGCTGTGAGCAGGATTTGAACCTGCACAGGAAAAGCCTACTGGACTTCTAGCCCAATACCTTAACCACTCGGCCACCACAGCTGTGAGTGCAGCAGTGCTCCACCGTTACTCCCAGGGGCTCGGCGGCTAGATAGTTTTCCATTAGGGAGCCCGCATCAATGAACGTCTGGGGATAGTGTCTACGAACCCACTGTTGCGCCCCTGGGGGGAGAATCCGGAGGAATTGTTCTAGCGTCCCTGTGTCTGCTCACTGGGCGCTGACTCTTTTGTCTGGTTCAAGCCAGCGCCACCCCAGTTCGCGCAATTTTTGTGCCACAACTCGCAGCCAAGCCCTAGTAGGGTACCTCTCATGCCGAAACTTTTGCCTATAGGTCTGGGGGGGTCACCCTTGCCTCGTCTAGTATGGCTCCCTTAGCTTTGTAATACCTTAACGCATCGCGGGCCCTGTGAGATATGGGGCCAAGAGGGTGGCCCAGTGTTCTTCGGGCCAGCGGGCAGCTTGAGCTACCCTCTCAAAAGTTACGAGATAGGCCTCCGGGTTGTCTAACGGCCCCATCTTCGTTAACCTTATTGGCAGTTGGCCTGTCCCCGCCGTCCCCTCGCCTCCTTCTACCAGGGGTGTGACACTTGCCCTCCCTAAGGTGGCCCCCTTGCTGCACCCATCTTTCTTCTTGTTCCACCAATTCTCTAACCAGCTGTCGCTGCTGTTCCTGACTTTGGGTGGCTAACTGCTGCAGCAACTGAACTTGCTGCTGTTGCTGCTGATTCAGTAGCTCAGACAGCCACTCAAATATCTGAGCGGGGTCCATGGCTCCCTATTTCCTTCTCGGGCCCCGGACTCCGCCTACCTTTAATGCTCCTCCCCAAAAAGAGGGAGTGACAGTTTTCCTTTTTTTGTGTGTGTGTCCCCTTTCAGTCTAGGGTCCCCGGGACAGCTCCCACATTCTCCACCACCTGTTAGGGGTTCGCCCCTGTTTGGGGGGGTTCCCCCCTTTTTGGGGTTGACCCCCTTCCCAGTCATTGCAACCTCCCTTCACCCCAGTGTCCTTTAGTCTGGTGATAACACTCCTTACTGCCCGAGGAACCCTCATATCTGCCAGGAGGGAAGGGGGACCTGGACCCTCCCTCTCTCCAGGTTCCAGCCCAGGATCCTAAGAACAGGTGTGACTAACGTCCTGTTCGGCCGGGGGGGGCAATGCTGCAACTCACCGGCCCACGGGCTTTCTCTGGCCCCGTCCTGGGCTCTTTCTCTCTTGCCATGCTCCGTCTTGGCCACTCCAGTCACCTTTCTTCCCCTGGTCGCCTGGTGCCTCTCGGGGTCTCGCTGCTCCTCGGGACCACCCCCTCTGCTTGCCTGCCTTGCAGGCTCCTGCAGCCGCCACGACTCCTGCCCTCTCCTTCCAAGGGCGGGCACCCTCCTTTTTAAAGCCAGCGCCCTCTTCCCAGGATGCTGGCTCATGCGCTTCTTGGCCCTCCAGCACATCAGCTGGGGAAATCCCTGTGCCTGCTCAAGTGGCTGCAGCCGAACAGGCTCTTCAGAGCCGCTTGCGCACCGTGGCGCTGGGGCCAGGCGCTGCTCTGGTGAGGGGTGAGGGGCTTACCCCTTCAGCCCCCACCACCCCTTCACAAGGACACTGTAAAAATGCCCTGAGAGTGAGAGACGCTTCTGTTACAGAACCCACATAGGAGAAAAACTGTGCAAGTTCCTCCACTGTGGGAAAGTTTCAGTAAGAGCTCGAACTAGGACTGTCAATTAATCTTGGTTTACTCAAGTGATTAACTCAAATTTACTCAATTTTAAAAATGGATCACGATTATCAGAGTTTTGATCCCACTGTTAATAACAGAATACCAATTTCAATTTATTATAAAAGTGTTAGGCGTTTTTCTGTGTTTTCAAATATATCGATTACAACACAGAATACAAAGCATATTCTCTTTATGGTATTTTTATTAGACATATTTGCATTGTAAAAAAAATAGTATTTTTGATTTGTCTAATACAAGTAGGGTAGTGCAAACTCTCATGAAAGTGTAGAATTGTTTGTGGGAGGTTATTGTTAAGTAGCTAAACAATAAAACAATGTAAAAATGTCAAGCTTACAAAACCATTACATCCTACTTCTTGTTCAGCCAAACCCTAAGGAAAATGCAGATTTTTCTTTCTCAGAATTACAACACTTAGCCCTGGTCTATGCTAGGGCTTTATTTTTAAATAACCTCCCTTCGGTTAAATGAATAAGCGGAGTGTCCACACTGCCACTTATTCTGAAATCTCTACTCCTGTTTTCCTCGAGGAATATCACGAATTTCCAAATGGTTATTTTGAAATACCAGTACTATGGATGTACCGGTGCTGCTATTTTGAAATAACGACTCCCCGATGTAATTCAGACTAATTACTCCCCAGTGCTTCCGGTGGCTCTAAGTCAAGGTTGTCTGTCCACATTATCAGCGCCTGCCTTGGACTAATTTTGAGGGTTCCCCATTGTAAGGACCTGCTCATTTGAATTTGTTGACACAGGAGTTCTTAAGTCGAATTTTGTTATTTCAAAATCATTTCCTAGTGTCAACGTGGCCAAAGGGTTTAAAAAGTGCTACCACGACAGCGCTGTAACGTGGCAGTGTGGCCGCAGCAGAGAGCTCTCCCAGCCCTGTATGTGAACTGTCTCCATAAGGGGAGTAGCTAACCGCACTAGGAGCCTATTTACATGGGTACCAGTGTCCCTCTAAGATTTTCCATCCAGGAGCGGAGTGAGTTTTGTCTTGTTCACCAGCAATCAGGGCATGGGCGCTTGTGTAAATGGGTGCCACCGTGGCACCCACCAGTGACATGACTCCCTGAGAAACTTTTCCAGGTAGTACCCCCCCACACACCCTATGGGGAGACAGTGAAACGTGCCCCCCCCCCCGGCCGGGGAGTGCTGCTCCCTATGCAGCCTGTGTGCAGGGCAGGGGAAGCCCCAGGCTGCCTCTTGGTAGGCTGGCTGTGAGCCCCCACCTAGGGTGGAGAGGGTTGGGAGCCAGGGGGCTCTAAGGGGAGAAAGAGAGGTAAGCGGGGGAAGCCCCAGGAGCAGCCGCATCACAGCCTGGCTCCAGCCCTGAGGAAGGGCAGGAACTAGGCCCAGGATCAGCTTGGCT